CCTTGTTGAAACGTATAAGATTGTTAGGGGGTTTGGCAATGCGGAGAGGCTGTTTCCCCTTCTGGGAAAGTCTAGGACAGGAGAGTATAATCTCAGAGTAAGGAGTTGCCCATTTAAGATGTGCAGGTGCCCGTGTTGGACTGAGGTGGACAAGGTCAGAAGTGAGGCAACACCAGGTCATAGTCCAATAGGATTTATTTTAAATCACAAACTTTCGGAGTGTTGCACCTGACAAAGCGGCTAATATCGTCTGACTCCTGACCTTGCCCATTTAAGACAGATGAAGATATTTTCCTTTCAGAGTGTGATGAATCAGTGGCATTCTTTATCTCAGAGACCTGCAGAAGCTGAATTGTTCAGTATATTCAAGACAGAGATAGACAGATTTTTAATCAGTAAAGTGAATTAAGGGTTATGGTGAAAAGAGAGGAAAGTGGGGTTGAGGATTATCAGTTCAGCCATTAGTTCATTGAATGACCTAATTTTGCTCCTTTATCTCATGGTCATACAGGTGTGGGAAGACAGCTTATGTACCATTTTAAAACGGGTAAGTGATAAGATACCCAGTAAGTATAGGCCAATCAGCCTAACCTCGCTGGTGGGAAAATATTTGGAAAAATGGCTGAGATAAACAATATAAATCATAATTTAGAAAGGCATGTGTTGATACAGGTCAATCAGCGTTGATTTGTTAAGGGAAGATTGTTTCTAAGTTGACTGAATATTTTGAGGGTGCAACAAGGAATGTCAATAATGGTGGCAAGGATTTTCTATTAAGATCCTACATGGCAGACTGGTCACAAATGTAAAAACCTATTGAATTTAAAACAAAGTGGCAAATACAATCCAAAATTGGTTTGGTAACAGGAAGCAAAGTGTAATAGTTACGTGGTGTTTTTGTGAACGAAAGGCTGTTTTTAGCGGGCTTTCAAGGGCTCAATAGTGGGTTCTTGGCTGGTCGTAATGACCATCAATGATTTAGACTGAAGTACTAGTAGTATGATTCTGGAGTTTGATATGAAAATTGACCACATCATTGATGGTGACACGTAAAGCTGTTGATTGTAGCAATCTATTTATGGAAGCTCAGGTGAGCATCAAAAGTGACAAGTCAATTCAGTCGGAGGTGGGGAGAGGGCTGCAAACATGGCAGGGGAATCCACAATAAATAGTTAGATACTGCAAAGTTCACATCCAGATGCCAGAAGATGGTTAGACAGGTGGATGAAATGGTCAAGAAGGCTCTTGGATCTCTTTACTGGCGAAGCAGAGCATATAAAACTGATGGGTTGGTAATTGGCTAGGCTGGATTTATCTTGCTTTTTGTGAGCAGAACATAATTGTGCAGTTTTGCACATTGTAGGGTTGATGCCAGTGTTGTAGCTGTACTGGAACACCTTGACCAGGGGCATGAATAGTCCTGGAGGCTGTAGCCTTTGTATGCAGTCTGCTCAGATGTTTGTTGATATTATATGGAGTGAATCAAATTAGCTGAAAACTGTCACCTGTAATGTTGGAGATCTCAAGAAAGTTAATCCACTCAGCACTTTTGGCTGAAGATAGTTGCAACCCGTCAGCCTTTATCATTGACATTATTAAGGGTGGAGTTATTGTGGACACGCCTCATCTCGTTGGTTGCTTAATCATTCACCATCATTTACAAATGTATGTGGTAGGGTGCAGCATTTCGATCTGATCAATTCATTTGTGTGATTGCTTGGCTTTGTGTGGTATGTGTTGCTTTCTTTGGCTTGCACATGGACATGTATGTTTAGCTTTGCTGGGTTGGCACCTTATTTTTAGATATGCCTAGTTGGTCCTGGCAAATTCTTCTGCGCTGTATACCACCAGTCCCTGTATCTGGCATCCATGTCCTCCAGCCAGTCTGGTCAATACAGATAACCCTTAGCTACTTTTGGTATTAGGCATTACAGTTTGCTATCCTATGGAAGGTGTCATGGTTTCCCTCAATACTTTCCTCCAAGTAATGTTCTACATAGATGAGTACATGGAGGATGCTTCAGCTGAGGAACAAAATCAATACGAACAAATTCCCTGTATGTTACCTGTCACAACTAGATAGTGTTACGTTATGTCTTGCTCCTACAATTATCTAAAATAGTTTCTTAAAACTATGCAACTGTCATTTTTTGTCAGTATGAGGTTCAAAATGAGTTTAAAAACCCAAAATTTAAAATTAAATGTATATAATTGAACAATATTTAAAAAAGAATCTTCATTAAAGTCTGTACTCAAAGTCCTCAATCTATTTCAAAAGCCTGATTTGGATTTAATTAACTTTCAGAGATATTAGAAATTGGGCGAGTTGTGTAACAGGGAACCAATTTGTTACAGTTCATTTTTACAACCACGTTCAAGTTGTATTTATCCCCACCAAGAATCAATTTCCAAACTCGGAATTTTGAAAAGATCCCTTTGAAAATAGTGAATGAGTACATTCACAAATAGAACCTTTCAACCAGTCGCCATACTCCAAGAACCCTAACCTGTGCTGTTGAAATCACATTAACTACTTCATCCTACCAATGGAGAAGGATAAGGGCAGTTAAATTTCTACACCTGGCTTGTAATCTAGCTATAGACCAGATATCTATTAATAATTTAAACAAAGGCAATCCCTTTATAAATCTAGAGGTTTCAAGAAAACTAACCTGTGATGAGTCGCTATTTTGAAAAGATCTAAAATAGCATTCAATCAAGGAGAAACAGCTCACAGTTCATGGTGGCTAAACGTAAATGGAATATGAGAAGTTGACCTGGGCAAATCCTGTTATAAACGTTGGCATACAAATGTGACTTTAATAGAGAGGAACTGGGTTGATGAATGAAGAACGTCCTGTAGACTTTGCATATTTTGACATTCAAACGAAAACTGTTGATAAAGACAGCAGATTGAGGTCTCTGGGATTGGGAGAACCTGGGTTTTATAAGGAATTCGGAATATTTACAGGGTTGTCAGAAATGGGAGACCCCTATAGGGACAGGTGGAGCTTTAGATGGACTAACATTGATATATCTCACTTGATTTGTGCCAATTATCAGGCATGGGTGGGGGTGGAGAAAATGTTCTCAATAATATAAAAATCTATGCTGGAGTCAGAATCCTTAATAGGAAGACTAAAATGTGATGTAGCTGTGATCAAAGAAAATTAGGCCCTCATCTGGCATCTAAATAAATAAAGTGCAATGGACAGAGGAGGAATTACTGCCAAGTACAGTGAGCTCTATTAAAATTCTATTGAAAGGCCTGGGTGTTACAGGATTTATCACAGCATCAACTACTGCTGTAACTTCATACATGTTCATGTATCAATTTTAAATTGTATTGCATTTATAATTAAATATGTGAAATTATAGCACTGTAGAAAGCAGCTGATTTAGTGAGAGTTTAGTCACCATATAAAAAAGGCAAAGTAGTCAGTGAAAAGGTTTGTTGCAGTACAACAGAGGATCTAGAAAATACATACCTGAAACATATCACCACCACTGGTGGGAGGATGTAAGTACAATGTGACAAGTTTACACAGATAGTTTCCATTGTAAGTGAGGATATGAGAATTTATTCATGTGAAATTAAAATGACACAAAGTAAGATTTTGAAGATAGAAACTAGACGTAGAATGTTCCTAATATTATATTGATACAGATGTTTATGTGAAGCAACATTCCTGCTACATAATTACATCTACAAAATGATTTTCCCACACTGCAGGCTTCCACTACTCAATTGCCACTAACAAGTAAACTGAGTCCAACCATCACTTGCAACCCCTCAAAGAAGGGATACACTGAGGAGACCCTCATTGGGAGTGGCATAACATAGCCATTTTAAAATTTCCCCATAGGGAAAGCTGTGGGTGTGAATCCATTGATTCTACATGACAAGACAGATGTGGATAGAATGCATAGTTTTGCTGGTGAGTCTAGGACCAGAAAAGGGGTGGTTCATTTAAGACTGAAATGAGAACTTTTTTTTCAATTCAGAGGGTGAAGAATCATTGGAATTCTCTACCTCAGAGGGTTTTGGAAATTCAATCATTGAGCATGTTCAAGAAAGAAACTGGTAGATTTCTGGATATAAGTGACATCAGGAGAGATGGAGAAAATGATGTAGAGGTTGATCTTCAAGGCATTGATTGGTTGGAATGGTGGAAGCAGGCTTGATGGGCTGAATGGCCTACTTCTGCTCCAATTTCCAATGCTTCCAAATCAGACTGCAAGAAAACAGACCCTTTGGTCCAACTAGTCCACACCAACCATATTCTCAAACTAAACTAATCCCACCTGCCTGCACATAGCCCATATCCTCCAAACCTATCCTATTCATGAACCTATCCAAATATCTTTTAAATGTTGTCACTGTAGCTGCATCCATCACTTTCTCTGGTAGTTCATTCCACACATGAACGACTCTGTAAAAAGCAAAAATGCCCCTTATGTCCTTTTTAAAATCCATTTCCTCTCATCTTAAAAATATCCCCCTAGTTTTACACTCCCCCACCCTAGGGAAAAGACGCTTGTCATTATCTATGCCCCTCGTGACTTTATAAACCTCAATAAATGCCAACCCTCGACCTCCTACACTCCAGTGAAAAAGTTCCAGTCTATTTTTTTTTTATATCTCAAACCCTCCATGCCTGGCAATATGCTCGAAAATCCTTTCTGAACCCTCTCCAGTTTAATAGTATCTTTCCTATAACAGGGTGAACAGAACTGCATACAGTACTCCAGGAGTGGCCTCAACAACGTCCTGTACGACCTCAACACGATGAGTCAACTCCTGCACTCAAAGGTTTGAGCAATGAAGGCAAGCGTACAAAATGCCTTCTTAGACACTTGTCTAGCTGTGACGCAAATTTCAAGGAATTATGTGCCTGAACCCCTCGGTCTCTCTACAACATTACCCAAGGCTCTACCGTGAAATCCTTACTGCACCTGTCACTGGGTGAGGCAGAAATCACAGACACAACTGCCAAGCATTTCATTTCTGGACTTTTGTTTTATATATATATCACTGCTGTACAGTTTTTTTCTGTTAAACAAGTAACAATAAAATTATTTCTTACAATATGGTTAAAGGCCTATGCTGATGAATCATACACTATACATGGAAAGCTCACATCTGTACATTTTTACATCTGAGAAACTTAAAAAATCTGATAAATATTTTAATAAAACCATTTTGTCCAATTTGTTTTGTTTTTTTGTTGTGGTGGGAATGAAATATTAATAATAAATGAAACACTGATGGTTTTAGAATTTTTGCAAGGAAAGTGTTTTTTTTTTTTTTTTACAAAACAAAAACAGTCCATGCACTGGACACAAGACTTAAAAACCAGGATTCCTTTATTCCCTCTTTCCTACTTGCAAAAAAAAAAATAAAAAAAATAAAAAAAACTGGTCTTCAGAAGGAATAGTTTGTCAAATACACTCCCACCATTCTTTCATCTAAAGAGGGAAACCTCTCAATAATAAATATACATTAATTTGTGTTGCTGTACAGAAAACAAAAGGTTGGCACTGCAACTACCTAGTGTAGGCCCTTTCCTTTTTGGATTTCTCCAGTGCTTTGTCCATGGTTTTTTCATTCTCACCCCTGCATTTTGGACAGTACCATTTGCCTTTAGGTTTGTGGTTCAGACTCACACAAGAGAAGTGGAACCACTCGATGGGGCACTCCTCATTATCGCAGCCAATCATCTCCCCATAGGAGACCTGGTTGCAGAGGCAGTAAGTGGGCTCGTTGGGGTCAATAGGCAGGTCCGCAGGAGATGCTTCCCTCTCCGCCTTTGCTTTGGATCTCTTCTTCTTCTTGGAAGTCTTGGCCTTCTTTTCCTTTGGCATTCCAGTACTCGTTTCCTCATGGTCATGGTTGCTGGATGCATTCTCCCGGTTCTCATTGTTGCGTCTCCGGGACCTTTTGGCATTGGGTTTCTCTGCTGGTGTTGCACCATCATTCCTGGACCTGTCCAGTGAGGACTTGTTGTTGGCGTCATTGCTCTCTGCACAGTTTTCAAAGAGCTCAACGTGGCTGTCCACCTGCCGACTTCGGTTCTCGACCAGCTCCACCATCTGGTTGACAATTTGGATCTTCTCATCGCCCAATTCCTGGCTCCGGATCAAGGCTCTCTGGATATAATGGAGAATCCTCCTCCTCTGAACCACGTCTGTCTCCCTCTTGTGTTTCTCGTAATATTCATCCAGTTCCTTCAGGATGTCTATAGAGGGAGGAGCAACAAAAGGCAAATTTTTTTTATACAACTTTCATAGCCTCCTCAAAGCACTGTACAAACAATGAAGTATTCTTGATTTGCACACAACAAGATACTATAAAGAAATGTGATAAATAATGTTGTGGTAACGATAGTTAAGAGTTAAATATTAGCCCCAGAACACCATAGAACTCCCCACTCTTCCAGGATCTTCAGCATCAGCACAAAAGGACAGACTAGGCCTTGGTTTGACATCTAATCTGAAATATTTAATAATGTGGCACTCCTTCAAGACTGACACTCCGATGGTGTGGCATTCCCTCATTATTGCTGACTGTGACCCTTGCAAAGTGCTAACGTACTGACAGTACAAGCATTCAGATAGTGCATCCCCAGTTCTGATCCTCTAACAGTTGAGATTGCAGTCTTTAGGATTTGGAGCTCGGGTTATAGATGAGGTTGTAAACTTGCTCGCCAAGCCGGTGTGTTTGATTGCAGACGTTTCGTCACCCAGCTAGGTAACATCGTCAGTGCACCTCCGGTGAAGCGTTGGTGTTCTGTCCCACTTGTTGTTTATATGCCTGGGTTTGCTGGGGTGGTTGGCATCACTTCCGGTTCGGTTTTTCAGTCGTTTTAAAAACGGGTCCAGTTCAATGTGCTTGTTGATGGAGTTCCGGTTGGAATGCCAGGCCTCCAGGAATTCCCTGGCATTGTCTGTTTGGCTTGTGCTATATGGATGTGTTGTCCCAGTCGAATTCATATCCTTCTTTGTCTGTGTGTATTGAGAGCAGTGAGAATTAGTCGTGTCTCTTGGTGGCTAGTAGGTGTTCATGTATCCTTACTTTCAAGCTGGAAAAAAATTGACAAAGGATACACAAACACCAACTAGGCAACAAGAGACACGACTAATTCTCACTGGTTTCAATCCACACAGACAAAGGAGGATATAAATTTGACTAGGACAACACATCCATAGTAGCCTGAGTCAAACAGATATGTCAGGGAATTCCTGAAGGCCTGGCATTTTAACTGGAACTCCATCAACAAACACATTGAACTGAACCCGATATACAAACCACTGAAAAACAGAACCGGAAGTAATGCCAACCACCCCAGCAAACCGAGGCATATAAATAACACCATTGCTTCAGAAGCGCACTAATGATATTACCTAGCAGGGTGACGAAACATCTGAACTAAACACACCGGCTCAGTGAGCAAGTCTACATCCTCAGTGGAGATTGCACTCCCTCAGTACCAAACCTCTGACAGCGCAGACAGTAAAAGGTGAAATCGCCATTGCCCCAAAGAATCATAAGGCTGCTCAGAGTCAGGACTGATGAGTTTAACCTGAGGGTCACTACATCTCAGGCTAACGGTGAGTTTGAGAGGTGGGACCTTTAATGGTGACCTCAGCTGGTGTGGGAATAGAAGCCAGACTGTACTGCAACTGGGAATCTCTAACACAGAAAAACTTCCTTTGCTAAAGACTAAAAAACATAATCTGCCAACAACCAAAACACTGGGGCCTTGGATATTCTTGCTTCAAATGAAGTAACAGCAAAGGCAACAGGGAGAAAACAAAACCTAAGACCTCAAATGATGGTTTTGTTTGTAAAACTTCAACTGAGTTGGTTTACCATATATTAGCAAATATGTACCATCCTTAAATCGAATCAAAGAACTGCGGATGCTGGAGATCTAAAAGAAACAAAAACAGAAACTGGAGAAACTCAGCTGGTCTGGCAGCATGTGAAGAGAAAACACACATTAACCCTACATCTACAGATGCTGTCAGATTTGTTGAGTTTCTTCAGCAATTTTTTGCTTTTGTAGGTACAATCCTCAATCTGACTGGCGAAGTGATCATTGTGATTAAACTCTCAGACCAGTGTTTTGGTGTTTTTTTTTCCCAACTATATTAATAGATAAGAAAAGCAGAGAACACATGGATCTCTTGGTATCAGATACAATTCCAACCAGAGTGAAACATCAGGAAGGAACTGAGGTGAGGCTCCACGAATAAAAGCTGACTGGTTCACAGAGGCACCACGGCAGCTCCCTTCGGCCCTAAGATAGGGTGGAGGAACAACTTCTACCTCCACTGAAACATTTCCTTAAATATGTCAATGTGCCCGATCCTAAGTATAAACAACCTGCCGCGGGACTCCCGAAACAGGGCGAACTTCCTGGGACCAGGACAGCGCCGGTCGCCAAAATGGCGGAACGGGCGGGGCAACGTCCACATGGCCCCACCCACAGCCAAGGATCGACGGGCCGCTCGACCAATCGGAGGCCGGCATTCCCAAAGGGGGACGTGGGAGCGGGATGATCCAATGGACGAGGGGCCTGGAACCCTCATTAACATAGCAGCCCCGCCCGCTCGACACGATTGGCACATCAAACAACCTATCAAGGGTCGTCCGACCTGAATAAGGAAACGGACTGCAGCCAATGAACGTGAGAAAGGGCGGAGCAAAAACAAGGGCGTTTAAATAGTGGATCCAGCGCGGCCCCCATCAGAGGAGATGGAGCCTCCAGCAAAGCAACTACTCTGGGGTTTGCAGTGAGTGGCGGCCTTGCTACACTGATACCCGCCCACCTTAACCCGAACCCCGGCTCTTTCTCCTCGCTCCCTTTTCCCCTAACTGTGCGTATAGCTCACTTGGGGCTCCAGGATCCCCTTCACTTGGGCGCAGTCCCTCCACTACCCAGCAAACCCTCTCTTTTCCCCGACAATCTATGAGGGGGGGGTAAGAGTAAAGAATCTCTGCCTCCACCCGTCCCACTCGTGTCTTTGCACCCCTTTAAAGCAGCTCCAAACACGAGCGGGGGGGGGGGACGACTTCGGGTGTGGGGTCACAGAGCTTATCTCAAGCCGCTGCTACCGGTTCCAATTCGGGCAGAAGCCTCTAGCCCAGCCCGCGCTGACACTCCAGCCATCATGGAGCTGGCGGAATCCTCTCTCGCCTGCCTAGTGTCGTTCCCGATCCTCGGCTTCTCCGTGCCTCAATGCGGGGCATTTGGAGTGGAAATCCTACCCTACTCTCTCTCCCTACACTCCAGCCCTGCCTATAGGACCTTTATTCCTCTTTCTGTCAAAATGGCTGTGTTATAAAGCTGATCTTTTGTTCCGCCCCAATACTGACGCTGCAGTTCAGTTCTTTTCACTCTCTAACTTAAAAAAAATGACGGCCGGGCTAGATGCGATGAGCCAGCCGCGGCTGTTTTACCTTGGTATTTTGCATCGATTTCCCTCATCAGAGAAACGTTCCTCTGGAGATCAAAAGGCAAAGACTCGATTGAATCCAGATAGTCTTCCACATAGTTCACAACGTGTATCTGCTCTCCGTTCGCAGGACTCAGCATCTTCCAAGCTACATTTGTTATTTGTTGGAGAAGGAGAAGGGTGACTTTCTCTCTCTCTCTCTCTCTCTGCTAAACTGACAAAAACCGTCAGGAGTGAAAAGGATTCCTCACTCACTCACTCGTTCACTCACTCACGTCCTCTCCAAATCTCTTGTTATTTTATGAAAAGAAAAGCTAATTATTTTAAAAAAAAACAGGCCGCAAAGATGTGGAAGATGAATGGGAAGACTCCCCTCCTATTTGAGTAGGGAATGTGGGGAGGGGGGGGGTTACAGTTTCTCTCCTCCCCAATCTCCACCTCTTTCTCTCTCTTCTACACACACATACACACTCTCACTCACATACAGAGCACAGTCCGATCCCAGACCTGGGACACTTGATCCAACGTGGAAACCCGGAGCCCAGTTTGAAACACTTGGGAAACACTCGGCCGGCAACGCGCACGCGCGCGGCCTCATTAGCATATCATTGTGACGTTACGAGCGCTCGCGCCCGCCTTTTCCTCCTTGAATTGATTAAATTCCACCCGGAGCTTTCGCCCCGCCGCTCCTCATAAAGTCACGGTGCAGCAGGCCTGGCCGCCGCGCTGCCCGCTCCTCTTCTCGCCTCCGATCAGCGGAGATCTTTAACTTTTTTCCCCGCTGATTGGCGTGGCTGGCGGGCCTATCCGGCGTTGCACCAGCCGACACGGGGATCAATCGGCGCGGGCGGGAGGCGGGACCTGGCTCCCGCACTCATTTCCACCCCCTCCTCCTACCCATCCGTCCCCTCACATTGCGGCCACGCCTACTCCGCCGGGCGACTTGTCAACAGCCTGCTTTCCTTCCCCCCACACCAAGGCAACGCCCCTTTCCCCGAATGCCTTGTGGGATCTGTAGTTCTCCCTTCGCTCCAGCGCCACGACAACTAACGGGCGGAAGGACTACATCTCCCAGCAGGCGGCGCGCCGTCCACGGCTCCAGTTTTAATGGTCCGCTGTTAGATTTAAAATTAGCGGGCAAAGGCGAGCGGCGGGGTTCAAAGGTCAGCGTTAATAGGGCTGGCAGTAACCTTGAGTTGCGCCATTGGAAGAGAAGAGGTTGAGGGAGGGATGGTGGGGGGGACTGAGAGGGGAAAGGAAGAGAGGGGGATGGGCGGTATGGTTGCTATGGAGGCGCCGGTCGCTAGGCTGTTAGAGATCTCCCAGGCGGGAACTGCGGATTTTCTTATTTCACTCTGAAGAGTCCCTCGAATAAAAACACAATGCTGTGGATGGTAGAAATTCGAAACACACCGAAAATGCTGCAGAAATTCCGCATCTGTGGAGAGTGAAACAGAGTTAACGTTTCGTGTCCGACGTGAATCGTCTTCAAAGCTGATTTTGCTTTGGTTCTTCAGCTCCGAAGAAGATTTACGTCGGACACGAAGCGGTAACTCTGCTCCTCTCTCCACCGATGCCGGGTTTCGTATTTTGTTAACCCTATTGGCCAGGACCTCTCTCAACCTAATCCGACCTCCCGGCCGGAGGGGCTGGCTGGTTGGCGATCGGGCGACTGCGGCCACACCCGGGCCGGGTTCCTGTGCTTTCAGGAGAAAGCAAAGCACTGCGGATGTTGGTTGCTCGAGAGGAAAAAAAACTAAAAAGGGAGGGCGTTCGGAGAAAACGATCAAGCAGACGGGCGACATCGGTGGACACAGAAACTGAGTGTTTCCAGCCGCAGCTTGATCCCTACGCTATTATTCAAAACCCTAACTCCTTTTATTCCCTCTCTCTTTCCATTGAAAGAAAGCTTTTGACGGACGTTGGGTTCGGACTTGCTTGGCGGGGGGGGGGGGGGGGGGGGAGAGGTGCGGGGGGGGGAAGGGCCTGTTGCCCAGGGGCCGGACCATGGGGCTCGGGGGCGTGACCAGCGGCTCGGTGGGTGTGTCCACCGGCTCCAGAGGCGGGACCAGGCCGCGCGGTGGGTGGGGCATACCCGCACTGGGAGGCTGGGACTAGTGGTCACATGGGTGGAGGTGGGTCGTTGGGCGGGGTCAACAGGGTTCAGTGGGAACGGGACGTGTCATGAAGCCCAGCCCATAACGCGAAGCCCCGCCCCAGCAAACGCCGCCATTGGTGTCCAGGGCCTGGCACTGCAGGCTGTTACCGTGTCTCCGCTTGTCGCGTTAAGTTCATCGCCCAGCCCTATCTGCTGGGGCACGATGAGGCTGCTGTTGGTCTGTCGCTCACTGCCAGCCTGGTTGATAGGGTGGTCGTCCCGTGTCTGTGGGCGGCAGCCGGGCGCTCGGTGCGGTAGCAGCTGGCACCAGCCGAAGGGTTACCCCGCCGGCCTGCAGGTCTACAACAGTTTGACGCGGAGCAAGGAGCCTCTGGTGCTCGCCGAGCCGGCCATTGCTTCCTGGTATAGCACTGACTCCTCAATAAACTCCCGAAACCGTGCTTCCGGGGCAAGACCACCATCACAGGCCGGGCATCAGCTGCCCTTCTTCACAGACCCCATCAGCTGGGCGATGGGTTCAAAGTAATCTTTCACCAGAAAATCAGACCCAAAATCTAGATACCCCACTTCCTGAAATTTCCTCACGATCAATTTGTGCCTCTGACAGTGCAGCGCTCCCTCAGTACTGACCCTCTGACAGTGCAGCGCTCCCTCAGTACTGACCCTCTGACAGTGCGGCGCTCCCTCAGTACTGACCCTCTGACAGTGCGGCGCTCCCTCAGCACTGACCCTCTGACAGTGCGGCGCTCCCTCAGCACTGACCCTCTGACAGTGCAGCACTCGCTCAGCACTGACCCTCTGACAGTGCAGCGCGCCCTCGGTACTGACCCTCTGACGGTGCAGCGCGCCCTCGGTACTGACCCTCTGACGGTGCAGCGCTCCTTTGGTACTGACCCTCTGACGGTGCAACGCTCTTCGGTACTGACCCTCTGACGGTGCAACGCTCCTTCAGTACTGACCCTCTGACAGTGCAGTGCTCCCTCGGCACTGACAGTACAGCACTTCCTCGGTACTGACGCTCTGACAGTGCAGTACTCCTTCTGTATCGTCGTTCCAAACACGCTTCTTTAGAAATGACTGAATGACAGTCTGGCACTCCCTCACCCCATGACAGCATGTCATTATTCAGTACTGAGTCTCTGATTTTGTGGTGCTCACTTAACACTGACCCTTGTCAGTGTAACAGTCCTTCACTACTGATCCTCTGACAGTGCAGCTCTCCCTCAGTACTGACCCCTCTGACAGTGCAGCTCTCCCTCAGTACTGACCCCTCTGACTGTGCAGCTCTCCCTCAGTACTGACCCCTCTGACAGTGCAGCTCTCTCTCAGTACTGACCCCTCTGACAGTGCAGCGCTCCCTCAGTACTGATCATCTGACAGTGCAGCGCTCCCTCAGTACTGACCCTCTGACAGTGATTCACTTCCTCAGTACTGATCTTCCGACAGTGCAGTGTTCCCTCAGTCCTGACTTGCCAACATTACAACACTTCCACAGTCGCAACCCTCTAACAGTGCACTGAATTTCCAATAGCCAGCGACTCCAGCGTCACCTCTCTGACAGTGCAGCACTTTCCCAGTGTCATCTGTGTAATCAGGCAGATATCCCTCAGTACACCCCTCTCACCATGCAGTGTTTCCTCATTACTGAACCCCTGACAGTCCAGTAGCTATTCAGTTCTGACCCTCTGACAGTCCAGCTGTACCATACTTGACATTCTGACAGTGGTCTGCTGGGCCTGTCAGTCGAGATTGCTGGCTTGAGTCTTGAGTGTGGAACATGGACTCATGTCTGTTGAACCACAATTGCTACTTGTCTTATTTCTCTTTTTTAATTTGATTTAATTTTTTGTTTATTACATTAGATTAGTATTCATTCAGAATAGTTGGTCTTGATTTATTTTATTGGATTGAAGATATTGGGATCTTTAAGTTGGGTAAGATGTTACGAGGCAGTATTTACAACCTTACAGTATAAGCAACCAATCCTCAGTGAGGAGGAAACATTTGCTTAAAAGTTAAGTTGTGAGGCAGTGGACATTAATGGTTTGTTGCATGTTGAGGTGTTGCTTTGATGGTCAAGGCAGTGTGAATGAATTGTGTAAATAGCATTGGTTTTATTTAGGATATTTCAACAGTTTGTGGAACTGAAGCAATTTTCTGCTATAGGTTAACTTCTATTCAAAAATAGTTTGAGTGAATAGCTTAGTTGGCTTATTGAACAGTTTTGCCTCAAGGCCAGGATGTTTACTACAAGTTAGAATGATGGTGAGGATCAATGAAAGGAATGGTGTACACATATGAAACAGGATACCTAAAATCTTATTACTTTGAAGCTTTGCAATTTGAATGAACTTTGAACTTTGTTAAAATAGAGTAGATGGTCTGGGACTATTGTTTTTATAAATTGGGCGTAATTGAGGTGCTCTTATGTCCTGATACAGCCATTCTTATGTCTTATTTTGTCTTTCTTTTGACAGGTATAGCTGTGGGCCAACAGTATATGATCAAGCTCATCTTGGACATGCAAGGTAAATATATTAAATTGCTAACTATTAGACAATGTATAACTGAAATTCAAACATTACACTATCAATTCTATTTGTAAAGAACAGGCAGGCAATAAGAGCAGGAGTGATCTTTGTAATAATCAAACCTGTTCTGCCATTCGGTAAGATCATGGCTGAACTTGCATCTTAAATTCATTTTCCCATTCACCCACACCACCATATTCCTTGATTCCATTTGTGCCCAAAAATCAGTCTCTGCCTTGAATATACTCAGCGATCTACAGCTCTCTGAGGTAGAGAATACCAAAGATTCACAATCCTGAATGTGAAGATATTTCAGTCCTAAATGGCTAACGTCTTTATCCTGAGATTGTGACTCCCTTGTTTTAGACTCTGCAGGCAGGAGATACAGCCCTCACCTTCTCTCCTGTCAAGCTCTCTCAGAACTTTTCATGTTGAAATAAGATAGTCTCTCATTCTTCTAAACCCCAGAGAGTATTAGCCTCTTCTGCTTTACGTCTCCTGATCGCACAATGCAGTCTCCAATTCCGTGAGTAAGGAGATTAAGACTGCTCAAATTGTGGAAGGGTACCCAGTGATGGTATGAACTAGTAGATTATAACTCTTGCGGAAACTCCTATTCCTTCCCACTAGTTTCTGCTTCCCCACCTACAGTTTGTCCTTCACAACTTCCTACTGATTCTGACATCTAGATTTTTGTCAGTGTCCTACCTGGAAGTATCTTCGATATACTGGAATTTATGTACCAGCCTTTTACCTTTTCAGTGTGTCACAACCAAAGATCAATTGCTAATTATTAAGTATGCTAATATGTGTTTATATTTTATGTGAGGAAGTTGTTTTTATTCTCTAGTGGACAACTCACCAAATTCAGTCTTAAATTTTACCCTCTGCTAGTGAGAACCTTTTGCCTCAATTTTTAATACAGATTTTTGGCCTTGTTTTTTAATGTCCAGTTCAGGCACTAACCTGCATATCCTGAGACCTCCACTTTGACAATATTCCTATATAAAGCCATAGAAACAATGACCAGCCTCTCCATCTCGCACTGATATTACATACTTTCTTATTCAGTAGACCAGGGAAGCAAAGTGTGACTCCTTGGGGGTCCGTCAAAGGAATACCATGAATGTCTGTTTCAGTGGGAGCACAGCGGGTGTGGATTTGGCAGTCTTGAAATTGCGAGAATTTTGTTGGCATAATCATAACTGAAAAACACAAAGGGATAAGTGCCAATGTGATTAATACAGAGAGTGAGAGGGAAAGTCAAGTGCTAAGAAAAGTGAAAATGAGAGAGATATGAAGTAAGTGACAGGTGAATTAACAAAAAATTGCAGAGGAAATGACACTATGTATTGTACTGATCTCGTTAGTTAGTGATTGTTTTAGAGAAATGGACTGGAAGCTTTTTTATATATTCATGCTTTTGAACTTTTTAAAGGTGATGCATACTTCAGACAGTTTATTCACACAAGCAGGTGTTTGGTGGGAGATTGTACAATCCAGTTGGGGAAGTGCTGTGTTTATATTTGTGATCTCCTCCTAATTAATTTTAAAGAATGAATACCCTAATATTCTCCAATCTTACATAGAACAACCAAGTTTTCACTGCTGAGCATGAGTCTTGCTGATTATTCTGTATGCTACAAACAGGCTGGAAAATCACCTTTTGTGTTTTAGTGACCAGATTGAGCACTCCTGCCAGTTGTGATCTGGTAGTCCAAGGTATTACAATGTTCTTTTGACACTTCGAAATTGAGAACTCTGTCAGATCTCTACACACAGCTTCCACTGTGTGATGGGTAAAGAATGTGCAACATATGCCAGCTTACCAAATGCACAAAATAAAACTGCAATCACTTCATGGCATTACATTGAATAAACACCATAAAAAGGTCACTTGACCAAACTAGTCTATTGCTGCTGCTTACATGCTGCATGTGACTCCTCCCATTGCCTTTGCCACATCTGATATTTCTATTCGTTTTTATTTCACTTGCTCATCTCATTTCCTTTTGAAGGCATCCAGGCTATTTACCTCACCCTCTTCCTGTGGTCGTGAATCTCACATTCTCCGAGTAAAGATGTTTCTCCTTGGTTTCCTGTTGGATTAATTAGTATAGCCATCATGTATTTATTGCCACTGATATTGAACTGTCTCTCAGGATTCTCTCCGTGACTATCCTGCCCAACCCATTTGTAATTTTTTGAGAGCTCTATCAGATCGCGCTTAAGATCTCTATTCTAAAGAAAGTGTCCCAATGTGTCCAATTCTTTCTATTAATCTCTCCATTCTGGTACTGTCCCTGTAAATCTCTTTTTTTGCTTCTGTATCCTTTTATAGTTTGGAGATGAGAATTGTTCACAGTATTCTAAGGCTTGACCAAGGTCCTGTCCAAATTTAACATAACTTCACTACTTCTGAATTCTATGCTCCTAGAAGTAAATCTCACAGTTTTTTGCATTTGTGGTTGCTTTGTTGACTTGCAAAGCTGCTTTTAATGATTTGTTCACCTGTATCCTTTGAAGATGATGGTGGATCACATTATCTTTATCCATTGAGTTCATTTGACCCTTACCTACCCAGCATGAGTTTTTATGTCTTGTATTATGATTCATATATTCTCAATTCATTACTTTTTCTCATAATATTTTCCATGTTTTTGTGTTCAATATATATTAAAATCAGTAGCAAGAACCTTTCTTTAATATGTTAAATCTTTCTTGTAAATGTGGACAATCAAATCACTTCACCATCTCTGAGCCCATCTCATGTCATTTGTTAGAAAAATTAAATTTTCACCCATCCATTTCAATATGTTAAGCATAAGAATGTATTTACAGTACACTAGAAGTTTAACAGCATTGAGAAGAACTGACTTAAGTTTGTAAAGTATAGATCAGCTGTTAGGGCCCAAACTGACTGCAGAGAAAGATTCTCCTCCAGGTGGAGCATTGAAACTGCATTCCAGCTGGCATCACATTAACTGCTGTAATTGTCATGTAAATGCACCTTAAAAGGCATGTGGCATTCTGTTGTGCTGCACTGTCAAGCAGGAAAGTGTCACACGCTTTAAAGCTAACTTTTGATTGCTGGATAGCTTTAGAAAAGAATATTTTTCAATTTACAATCTTCTGGTTGCACTAGAGGATGGAAAAGAAAATTCTACACAACGATGGTCAGACTACCTTAGAAAATGCTGAAAAATTGTCAAATTGTAAGCAATCAAGAGGCCATGGTTTCATGTGTGCCAATAATGAACTTCGCCATTCTACACAAAAGGTCATCCTGACTCAGGACTCTGCCAGGTTCTTTAGTAAAAGAATGTAAATGCTGACATTCTTATTACAGGGAATGCAGGGCAATGGCTCGCTCAGGAAACTAGTTCCTGGTATCGACTATGATTAGCCCATGTCGTCTTATACCGCCATAAGACACAGGACCAGAAGTAGCCCCCATCCATTACTGCCAATTTCAAAAATCTTATCTGTTGGACTAGAGCTTCAGTAACAGATTCACAAATCACAAATGTCACAATGTAAGCCAACAAGGCTATTTAAATAAAAGCTATGAAAGCACTTTTCATTCCATCCCTCAATAAATGAAAAGCAGAGTGTTCAACTTGTCGTAACTTGATTAGACTATGGCTGAAGCACTGTAGAAGTTCTACTCTTGATTTTATAAACAATAAATAGAGGTACAGAACTAAGAGGTTATAAATGTCAAAATAAATTTAATGTGCTTGGCCTGTTCCCTTTTAGAAAAGAAAAGGCAAAGAGGTGATCTTAAAATTTTGACGGTGTTTGATAGAGTGGGTATACAGAATATATTTTCACTTGCGGATGAATCCAATACTCGGGACTGTAATAGAACTTCCTTACTAATAAATCCAAAAGGGAATTCAGAAGAAACTTCTCTAACCAGAGACTGGTGAAAATGTAGAATTCCTACTTCATTCAATTGTTGATGTGAAAATGCTACAGATGCAGTTAAGGATGAATTAGATTAAAAACTCCAGTTATTATAAGCAACAATGTCCTCCAACTGACTTGTAACACCATTGGTGTACTAAATTGGTTAAATATAATAGGTCCTAAAAGAAAACTTAAGTGGTCATATTTATATGCAAGGGTAAAAGCAAAATACGAATAGATGCGAAATAGCTTTTGAAATACTTGTAACAATTAATGTCATACAGGCTCAGAGACCAAAGTATTTTGATGACCAAATTTACAAAGAATCTTTACCACATTCAATAAGCCTTGTGACTACTTTCAATATAGAAACTTAGGTACACATGGCGAAAGACATACAAGGGTATATGAATGAGATTGAGAGGAAACCTAAGAGACTTGTATGATGCATAAACACTGGCACGGACTATTTAGGAAAAATGGCTTATATCCGTGTGTAAAACTCTAATATCTGTCTGCCTAGTTTTGGCCTGCTTTACATTTGTATGGTGCCTCTATTTTTGTACTTTACTGCCTAGCAATACTTGAAATTCTATTTGTTCTCTCTTGTTGCCATATCTATCTGGTCAGTAAATACTGTTACATTTCTGTCTCTGTTGTGTATTTGTAATGGGCATTCATGCATGAAGTAGATTAAACAGGAGTTGCCTGATTATCTGGTGGTGTGACTTCCATTCTTAGTGACACGAGTCTTTTCACTCGGTTTATCAAAATCAACTTTGTAACATTCTATTCTGCTACAGTCAGATTTTACTTTAGTCTATATATATTTGTATTGCCAATGGAGTTAGAAAATAAATGTGTGTAATACTGGAGAACTTCACTTGCTCCCAGCTCTGCTCAACCCTGTTGAACTAATTCATTTCTCATGCGATTTTAACCAAACCCAATTCACTCTCAATTTCTCTGATGTCAGTATTACTTATTAATGTTATTTGTTAATACTGTCATGATTTTATTTTTTTATTTCAAAAGCGCTATTTTGGGAATTGCCAGGATGGTAATATGCAACTAATTGGACTTTC